TTGAAGAACATCCATACTGTTTCCAGAGTGGCTGTCCCAGTTTGCATTTCAACCAGCAATGCAAAAGGGTCCCCTTTCTCCTCATCCTTGTGAATATCTGTTGTTTCCTGTTTTGTCAGTTTTAGCCATTCTGACAGATGTGAGGTGGTATCTCATTGTAGTTTTGATTTGTATTTCCCTGATGATGAGTGATGTTGGGCATCTTTTCACATGTCTGTTAGCCATCTGAATGTCTTCTTTGGAAAAGTGCCTGTTCATGTCTTTCGCTCATGTCTTCACTGGATTATTTGTTTTTTGGGTGTTGAGTTTGATAAGTTCTTTATAGATTTTGGATACTAACCCTTTATCTGACATTTTCTCCCATTCCATTGGTTGCCTTTTAGTTTTGTTGATTGTTTCTTTTGCTGTGCAGCAGCTTTTTATCTTGAGGTCCCAATAGTTCATGTTTGCTTTTGTTTCCCTTGCCTCTGGAGATAGGTTGAGTAAGAAGTTGCTGAAGCTGAGGTCAAAGAGGTTGCTGCCTGTTTTCTCCTCTAGGATTTTCATGGTTTCCTGTCTTACATTTAGGTCTTTCATCCATTTTGAGTATACATTTCTGTATGGTATAAGGAAGTTGTCCAGGTTCATTCTTTTGCATGTCGCTGTACTGTTTTCCCACCACCATTTGCTGAAGAGACTTGTCTTTTTTCCATTGGATATTCTTTCCTGCTTTGTCAAAGATTAGTTAACTATATAGTTGTGTGTCCATTTCTTGGTTCTCTATTCTGTTCCATTGATCTATGTTTCTGTTTTTGTGCCAGTACCATACTGTCTTGATGATTACACCTTTGTAATACAGCTTGAAGTCCGGACTTGTGATGCCTCCAGCTTTGGTTTTCTTTTTCAGGATTGCTTTGGCTATTTGGGTTCCATACTGTACTTGGTTTTTAAAAGGAACAAAATACTAGCATAATTTAGATCAAGAAAAATAGTTTATTATGCATAAGCAGTTTTGACAATGAAAGAACATAATACTTGAAATAGGTGAATAGAGAACTATAGCCACATTTCTTTGAAAATCAGTGAGTTGCGGGGCGCCTGGGTGGCGCAGTCGGTTGGCGTCGACTTCCAGTCGCGTCTCAATTCGGTCCGTGAGTTTCGAGCCAACGCGTCAGCCTCTGACTGATGGCTCAGAGCCTGGAGCCTGTTTCCGATTCTGTGTCTCCCTCTCTCTCTGCCCCTCCCCCGTTCATGCTCTGTCTCTCTCTGTCCCAAAAATAAATAATAAAAAAAAAAAAGAAAATCAGTGAGTTGCCATCTTAGGCATTGGTTCTTTATTGTAATTTGCCAGTAATTTTTCTTTGAAAGAGTAAAAACTAGTAAATACTACATTTCAGTGAATTTTTTAGATACTTATTTTGTGTGTAAAATGCTTCTTAATTTGACAAAGATTGATAACCAACATTTTTCAGTGCAAAGATACGATGTTTTTACGATCTGTGTTGCTAATGTTTTTCCTGTTTGTTTTCGGTTTTTACATATTTTTTACTTTGAATGTTAAGAATAAGGATCCATGGTTTGAAATTTAGTGAAAGCATTGTACAAATATTTTGCTAATGTATATAGTTAATCTAAGTATCCAAAATAATGCTTTTAAAGTATTAATGAATAGAATCAGTTCTCAGAATTACACTTTTCTAATTCTGTTCTGTTACATCAAACAATTTATTATTGATCTGTTGTTTAGCTGTTTCCTGCTTTTTGTTTACTATAAAACAATGAGATGATGAACCTAAAATTAAATACATTTAGTAGTATCTACTCTCTTTCACTTTAAGAACTAAAAGGTACCATTCTTTTTTTGTGGTTGAAGTCTTAAAGTTGTAGACACTTTTGTTCTTTGTTGTTATAATTGATCTCTTTCATACAGAACTTTATGGAATTTATTGTCATTAAATAGGGAATATAATTGGGACAACTGAGTGAGATACTTGTAGAGTATTTGGAACAATGCCTGGCAAGGAGTGTGTGCTCATATAATACCAGCTCTTACTAGAAGTACTATGAGTAGTACTACATTATTTAAAATAGCTTTTCTTTTGTTTTGAAGAAATGGTTTGTTTAGCCTCCTTTGCCATTTATCTAATATTGAATGAATAGCTTCTGGGTGCCAGGAACTGTCAGATGTTCTCATGTACATTATTTTGGCTAATGATGAGAGTATTAGGCTCTAATGGTTAAGTCAGTTAGTCTTGGTTGTTCAATAAGAGGTAGGCTTTCTAGCAAAATTTGTCATCTATGATTGACATAAAAACCTTTTAAATTTGTCATAATCTCTCCTCTGATAGATGTTTATGTTGGATACTTTTTTATGTTCAGAGCAATGCGATATGGGCTGTGGAGATTGAAAAAAATGAGTTTGGTACACTGTCTTATAGTGCTGGAGAAAGCTGTGATACAGGGTAGAAAATGATACGGTTAGAAATTATACACATTTAGAAGAGAGAGCTAATACTTGCATTCAGGGAAGAAGTTTAATCAGGCATGGTTTTTGAAGATAGGTTAACATTTAAACTGAATAGTTTGGGGATAGTAGGATTTGGACATCTCAGTAGAGGAAACAAATATGAGATGTGTATAGAAAATAGGGAATAGTTTGTTTTAGGTACTGTGTATGAACGAATGTAGGAGAAATTTTAGATTGGGAAGGTAAATTTTATTTAGAACCAAATTGTGTAAGGCCTTGAAAACTTGACTGTTTTGAATTCAGACATTTGTTAGTGGAGTGAATGTTTTTAGTCACTTTGAGGCTAGTTACATATGGTTTGGGGGAAATAAAGTTGAATGAGAAATTTAGACCATAATGAGATTTTATTACTAAAAAGGGAGGTGGTGACCATACAGAATGGTAGAAAGGACAGTTCTTTTACATTCTGTGGGCATTAGGTTCTTAATATGTAAAATAAAATGTGTGTAAAAGATCATTAAGGCCATAATGAGATGGTGACTCTGTCTTTTTTTTTTTTTTTTTTTTGGTCCAAACTAGGATGCTGAAATTGAAAGGAGGTACTATTAATAATTAAGCCCAGTAGCAACTGAGTTATACTGTTGCTTCTTATGAGTATACTTTACCTATTATATTTCAAAACTCAAAATTTAAAGTACTGAAAAAAAAAAAAAAAAAAAAAAAAAAGACTAAGTCATCAATCATAAAGGTTTATTGTTGAACTTAAAGGTAAAGGTAATATAATCTGAGGAAATAGAATCTTTTAAAATTTATTAATTTAGTTTTAGTTGAAGTATAGTTGACACAGTGTTACATTAGTTTCAGGTGTATAACAGTAATTCCACAAGTTTATATGTTAATACTACGTTCACCACAAGTGTAGCTACCACCTGTCACCATACAATGCTGTTGTAACACCACTGACAATATTCCCTATGCTATACTTTTTATTCCCCTAACTTACTCATTCCATAACTGGAAGCCTGTGTCTCCCACTCCCCTTCACCCATTTTGTCCACTTGACACCCCCAGAAAATAGTCATTTTTGTATAAGTATCTGCTTGATGAGTGGTAATGATTAAAAATGTGCATATAAACATGGAAGTGTTTTGAAACAGATACATTGTTGAAAATAAAGTCAGTTACTCATAGATAAAGCTAAAACCAGTTACACATCACTGTAAGTATACACTTTAATATGTCTGGCATTATGAGGAAGTAATGAGGTACTTCATTTACACATTTTCTAGACATAATTCTTTAAATGTCTTCAGGGACTGCAGTCTTTAGGGTAGTTTACCCTATATTAGATGGGTCTACTAGGCTGCTATACTTGCTATTTTAAACTGTCTTGTCAGAATTTTTTTTGAATTTTCCCTTGATGTTGCACTCACTGCTGTAAATTTTCTGGCTTATCATAATGGTTCAGTACAATTATGTAGAGGGGCACCTCTTCCCCCAACTCTCCTGTATAAGTAAGAACCGTATGAGGGCCTCAAAATTATGTGGACTATGACAGCAATTTTGTTACTTCAAACCACTTTTCCGTATTCTAGTTTTCTCACATTCTAGACAAGTGATTCTCAGACATTTAGTGTGCATTCAGATCACCTGGGTATTTTGTTAAAAGGCAAATTCTCATTCAGTAGATCTTCCTTGGGCCTGAGATTCTGCTTTTCTAATCAGCTCCTAAATGATGTGGAGTTGCTCTTCTGTGGACTACACTGAGAATATCAAGGTTCTAGAAGGTTTATTGGAATTCTGTCAGTCTTATGATACAGGGTGTTAAATGTGGCTGGATTCTTCCAGAACTTACAGTTTTGAAAAGAAAACCTAGGGCTTTTTAAATTTAGTAATGCAGTTGATTGGATAATATTTATCTTTTATATTCACGTTTCCCTCTTTCATGTTTACCAGTGTCTTAACTCTAGTTTTGCTTCTTTCTCATTTCTTTTTTTGTTGTTGTGGTTTTTTGCTTTTGTTTAACGTATTATTGTGTTTTGTGGATCTGGTCAGGGAACCGTTACTGTATTTTATGTTTGTATCTACATTTTATTTTGCATGCTTAACGTGGCTTTGCCTGGATGTTCTTTTTGGTAAGTTCCAAATTTATAAAGCATATTGTTTTTTTGTAGTGTAAGTCACAGTGTTTATCATCCTTTTTTTTCCTCTCACTTCTGGTAATGTGATCATGCTCTCATGAGTTGTTTTTAATTTTTTTTAAAGAGTTCATTTGATACCTTTCCCTAACATTTTCCAGTTTTCCTTAATAGTAGTGCAGTTTGGTACTAATCTGCTTTGATTGGTTTTATAGCCTCACACTGTCAGTTGCTGATCACTATTAGCAGTTGCTATGTCAAGTATTTTGGTTTTTTTTAAAAAGCCTTAATCATCTAGAGATACTGTTCTAAGAGCTTGTGCTTCCATATAGCAATCATAAAAGAAAATAGTTTGTAGTAAAATTAAATATTTTTGTTCTGAATGAAAAATGCATTCTAATTTTGTTTTTTTACAGCAACAGCTTGCACAGCTACAGAAAGAAAAATCAGAGATTCTGAAAAATCTGGCATTATACTACTTTACATTTGTAGATGTTATGGAATTTAAGGTATGTATTTTAATATATAAAGTTTAATATTTCAGAAGTAGGTTGATGTTTATTAATTGTATAAATTGCTTTGTCACTTGTAGATAATAAAATAAGAATTCTTTTGCAACTACAATTTAAAATATATTTTATTTTTGTGTTTTCTAAATTTAGTATTATTTACCTAGGTAGAAAATTAACATAAGCTTTTATTTTCAGGACCATGTTTGTGAATTGCTGAACACTATTGATGTTTGCCAAGTCTTCTTTGATATCGTAAGTATTATTTTCAGAAAAACTCCTGATTCTCTCCTGGTAGCTTCTTTTTTTTTTTCTTTTAACGTTTTTATTCATTTTTGAGAGACACAGAGAGACTGGGCATGAGTGGGGGAGGGGCAGAGAGAGAGGGAGATACAGAATCTGAAGCAGGCTCCAGGCTCTGAGCTGTCAGCATGGAGCTCGTATTTTGTAGCACTTTTTAAAGGTAAGGAGTTATAATGTATTTTCTATTTTTACTTATTTCATTGTCACTGAGTATAAATCTTGAGTGTATTGGAAAATAGTTGTTAATTTTAGTATTTTATTTTAGTAATTGCAATTTAAAAAAGTTAAGTGAATAATATTTTTCTCTGTAAAAGGCACACTTGATAGAATCTTAGGTACGACAATTTCTAGATACAGGAAGTCAGAGTGAAAAATGCCTCCATTGACAATTTACTACTAAATGACTTCCATTACTTTTTTATTTAGTACTCCTTTTTCTTGCTTAGTGAGATTGGCTCCATATTTCTTCTTATTCTGGTTTTATTTATCCTTTTAAACTATTTACCAGTTAAATAAAGCAATAACAAGCTTTTTGTCATCCATAAAATTGTGTCACCAACATGAAACTGTTACCTGTAACTTCTAAATTTTAGGTATGTTTTTGGTGAAAGGAATTAGAATTTTAGAAGTAGGCATAAAATAAATAACTAAAGATTATTGACTTTTAGTAGCTGCCATGAAGATTGTGTATGTGCGTGTGTGTCTTAAAGTTCACAAAATAAGAGGTTAAACTTGATTTTTGTTTTCTAGACTGTAAACTTTGATTTAACAAAGAACTACTTAGATTTGATTATAACCTATACAACACTAATGATACTACTGTCTCGAATTGAAGAAAGGAAGGCAATCATTGGATTATACAACTATGCTCATGAAATGACCCATGGAGCCAGGTAGACCTGCATTATACAGATCTTTGTGAAATTCTCAGTTTGATGGCTAACAACTCACTGAAATTTGATATGTCTATTTTAAGTGACCGAGAATACCCACGCCTTGGTCAGATGATTGTGGATTATGAAAACCCTTTAAAAAAAATGATGGAAGAATTTGTACCCCATAGCAAGGTAGGACCTGGTTTTTAGATTGCTTTTAATAGGCATATGAAATAGTATAAGGGTGGATAGTTAGATAAACTTCTTTATGAAAAACATAATGGGATGCGAATAATAGCTGTGTATGGTGTTATCTAATTGTGAACCAGAGAACTCATTAGTTAGATTCCAAATAGTACATGGAAACTCAGGAATATATTGATCCAGTATAATTTTTATTTTTATTATTTATTTTTAGTTTATTTTTATTTGTTTTGAGAGACAGAGAGCAAGCAGGGTAGGGGCAGAAAGAGAGGGGGACAGAATCCCAAACAGGCTCTGCGATGTCAGCACAGAGCCTGACATGGGGCTCAGATTCACAAATCGTGAAATCATGACCTGAGCTGAAATCGGGAGTCGGATGCTTAACTGAGCCACCCAGTCACCTCCATTATAGATTTTAGATTCAGTATAGGGTATAGAGGTAGTGAAGTTTAGTATTTGGGAATGTCTGCTCTGATACCAGACTACCTGGGTTCTAATCCCAACTCTGCCAATTACTGAGTGTGTAATATTGGGCACATTCCTTAACCATCTTCCCTGTATCCATTTTCTTATCTGTAAAAATAGAGAAATAATATCTCCCTCATATGGTTGTTATGAGGATTAAATGAATTACTTCATAAAAAGTATTTAGATACATAGTGTTTGATAAATTTTAACTAGGTTATTAATAAATCTTAAGAAAAACTATAAGAGCTTTGTGAAAATAATTTTGAATGTCTTTTACAATATATAAAAAAGTAGTTTTCGTGAAACAATTTTGGTTCAAGGGAGTCTTGCCATTATGGTTTCTTTGCAGTAGGGCTGATTCAAAGAACCATAGTTCATATGCACATCAAGGAAATTTAGAGGTATCTCATACATCCTATTACAGATAAAAATTGAGAACTGGAGAAGTGACACAATAAGTCATTTAGCAGCAATTGGGGCAAAACCAGAGCTAAATCCCAAGATTTTAGAATCTTGGTTCATTCTCTTTGAGTCATGAGAGTTAAACATTTTAATAATACACTATTTTCTCTAAATCTGTGCTTTTTTTTTTGACCTACAGTTAACACCAAGAATTTTCCTTCCATTTTTTTACTCCAGTAAAAATTCTGAAGATGTGTTTACAGAAGATGTGTTTGTAGTTTAATTTCTTTGTTTAGCTGTATTATACCCACAAATTTATATAGGTTATTGTTTTGAAGTTAGTTGGATCATTAGTTTGAAAGAGGCCAGTGGATGGCATCAGTTTTGAAGTAAAAATCAGCATTGCAGATGGAGATGTCAGGATTCCTCAGAGTGCTGAGCATACCACAGTCATTTGTCTCTGATTTGGGTATTGCTTTTTCCTCACCTGGAACTGTCTTCCCTACTCCTCTCTGTTTTCTCTATACATTCATTTCTGACTTTTTGCCAATCACATACGGCCAAGTTTTTATTTACCCAATTCAGATTTCGTTCTTTTCCCACTTAAGTGATGAAAATTTCCTTAAGACTCTTGCATGTCTTTTTAAGTTCTCCATAGTCATTTGCATATACTAGACTATTAATAATTGCTTCAAGAGAATTATCCATTTGGATTAGACCCTTTATTTCCTAATCACAATTTTTCTGATGTTCCATGATATCTCAGGTTTAGATACAAAGTCTATCCTGTATTTGCTAGGATTTGTTAAAATTAATTTTAAAAACATTTATAATCACTTGGTAGAGTATAATAAAAATACAGATTCCTGGGGTCTACTCCCAGAGGTTCTGGTTTACTAAGTTTCAGGTAGAACTCTGGATTCTGATTTTTGAACAAATTCCATGGTAATTCATGTGCACTCAGATGTTCACTCTTACACAGAGATTCTAGGAAGCAAAGATGAATAGCAAAGGACAGTTAAAAGCAAGTAAGAAGCAGATGAGAAGAAACATTAAATACCTTGATGATAAAGCTATAATTAACAGACCAAATGACAAATAGAAGTTAAGTAATTTATTAAGATAGAGCACATTTTTTTTTGTAAAGAAATCTTTGGAGAAATATGAAATATGTTGAGCTCTATTAACAGTCCTATAACCCTAATGTGTTTTTTCAAAGAACTATTAGAGTAGAAAATGATGCACAAAAGAATGTGCCTACTACCCCTTTTGAAATAAAGATCCCAAGATTGCCAAACATTGTAACTTTTAAGGAACTAACATGATTTCCTGAGCTGAGCTCTTGCCCAGGAATACAGAATCTATGTAGTTTTTATGAAATTAAAAAAAATTCCAGAGGTGGTAGCCAGACCCACCTTAGATACTATATGGAGCATAGTTGTAATTAGGCTTTGTTGTTTTAGGATGGTACAGTTAGAAACACACAGCACTTGTAGCTGAAATTTAAATGGAAAAATAAAAAAAAGTCTTTGTTCCTCAACTTCCTTTTTTCCTATTTTAATTAGTCTCTTTCAGATGCACTAATTTCTCTCCAGATGGTGTATCCTCGAAGGAATCTTTCAGCTGACCAGTGGAGAAATGCCCAACTATTGAGTCTCATCAGTGCACCCAGTACAATGCTTAATCCTGCACAGTCTGACACCGTATGGTTCTGTTTTTCCCTTTTTGAATAAAAATAGTAAAGTTGATTTTTAAAAAAATATCAGCAATGCAGTACTGTTGTGATTTTTCTTCTGATTGATGTTAGCCTGTCAGTGAAGTTTATTGTAAAATGTCCAGTAATTAAGTTGTACTATTGAGTTTTTTTATTTCTAAAATCTGATGCTAAGTTAATACAATTAGTAATGTAAGTATTTTCTCTTAAAATTTAAATGTCTGTTTTGTTCTGTTATAGTAGAAAATTTGGAAAATGCAGAAAATTGTAAAGAAGGAAATACAAATCATCTTAAATCCTCACCAAAATCATTATATTGTTTTATATAGTTGACCCTTAAACAACATTGGTTTGAACTGTGTGAGGTCACTTACACGTGTATTTTTTGATAAATACAGTATTGTACTGTAAATGTATTTTCTCAAGATTTTCTTAATATTTTCTCTAGCTTTATTATTGTAAGAATACATTATATAATACGTGTAACTTACAAAATATATATTAATTGACTTTGTCATTGGTAAGGCTTCTGGTCAACAGTAAGCTATTAGTATTTAAATTTTTGGAAGTCAGGAGTATTAGGCAAATTTTCAGCTGCATGGGGAGCAGGGTGTTGGCATTCCTAATCCTCCTGTTGTTCAAGGGTCAACTGTATTTTCAGTCTGTTCTCTGTATGTATAAAAATATATGTTATGCAGATGGAGAATACACACACAAAATTACTGATTGGGGTGAGATAGTAAGTACCCATGTACCTAAATCTTTTTTAAATTGATTAAATATTATCTCTTGGAATACTACAAGCTCTGAAATAGACTTGGGAAATTTGAACTTGTCCTTTATCAGATTGAAGACAATTTAGCAACAGTATTATTTTAAGGGAGGTTTCAGAGAGTGTAAATGTGAAAGGGGCACAGCTCTTACTGTCCTTTATGGACTGCAAGTTTATTTATTTATTTATTTATTTATTTAAAAAAATTTTTTTTTTCAACGTTTATTTATTTTTGGGACAGAGAGAGACAGAACATGAACGGGGGAGGGGCAGAGAGAGAGGGAGACACAGAATCGGAAACAGGCTCCAGGCTCCGAGCCATCAGCCCAGAGCCCGACGCGGGGCTCGAACTCCCGGACCGCGAGATCGTGACCTGGCTGAAGTCGGACGCTTAACCGACTGCGCCACCCAGGCGCCCCTGCAAGTTTAAATCATAAGTTATAAAACTTTTATCCAGCCTTTTAAATACGTCATGGTGGTATTTGAGCCAAGAATTGAGCAGTAAGAGTTTTTAGGAGGAAGAGAAAGAGAGTGACTTAGCATAGGATTTGTTTTTTTAGAATTTCTTCTAATCACAGGTATATATTTTCTCTTTTTAAGATGCCTTGTGAATATCTCTCTTTGGATGCAATGGAAAAATGGATTATCTGTAAGTAAAATCAATTAGTTTTGTAACTATCTCTCAGGTTTTAAGTTTTAGAGAAAAATAACAGGTAATATGGATTACTTCTGTGCCAAGCACTGTCCTAAGCCATTTCTGTGTATTACCTCATTCAGTTCTCGTACTGACCCTGTCAAGATAGTCTGTTTTATAGTCGAGGAATCTAAAGCTTAGTCTATGTAGCTAATAAGTGACAAAGACAAAATGAGAACCTAGGCTAATGCCAAGGCTCATGGTACATTATATTGCCTCTCAGTATGACTGTCAAAACTACATTTTTATTTTGTTTTTAATGATTTTTTTAAATGTCATGTTTATTCAGCTAAGGTTTTTGGTTTTAGTTTACTTCTGTACATATAATAATGACTCATCGTTGGCAGTTAAATGCATTGGAAGATGAAATTACTAGTTGTGCCCCTGGGACGTTCACAAACCATAGGGGAAATAGACACAGTAACATACAGATACAATATAGAATGAGAGTTCCTATAATTACTTCTACCGCCCCCAGGTCCAGTAGCATATGGGAATAATTTTGAGCAGTTTTTGTTTCTTAGTTCTTATAGGTCTTGTTTCTTGGTTTATTAACCTTTAAGATTTATTTATTGTTTTTTTTTTATTATAGTTTATCTCAAACTATAGTGAAGGACCAGTTTTTAAAAAAATTTTTTTTTGCATTGATACTTCTATAAAATTCAAAAAAATTGAATTATTAGAATTACCAGAAATTAATACAGATGCAAAAGCCCACATTTTAAATTATTAAATTCAGTTTAATCTAACATTGTTTTTAGCTTTCTACTCATAAATCAATGTCAGATTTTTATGAGAGTTTCTAAATACTGTTAGTTTCTTTACTCAATCTCATGCCCTGGCACTTTGAAAAGCACTGTTATTAGTATGAAAGAGGAGGAATTTAGCACATAACTCCCTGTCCCTGGCCATTTTTATTAATTATATATTTTACATTGATCATTTTTGTGATACTCCTTTTTCTTCTGTAACGATAGTTAAGATTTTCATCCTTTAGTCTCTTACTTGATCAAAACACAGTTTTCAAAGTATTAATTTTGCTTAAATGTATCGTGATCCTTGGTTGTTCATGTTTATGGAAGTTTGGCTGTAGAACAGAGGTGATTAGTAGAGTTAGGTAGCATGACGACCTAGAGTTAATAGCACTAGTGCCCCTAGTCAGGAATGCTGAGTACAGGGCCCTGTATGATGAGAGGGAGGTAGGTCAGAAGGCAGGCTACCCTAAGAAGGAATGTAGGGACATAGAGGCAGATTTGGGATAATCACAGTTGCCCAAGTAAGGAAGGTTTACTCTGAAGTTTGCTGCCTTCATGTGTTTGAGCCTTGAGTAGAGTTAATATAGAAGTTAAGAATTGCCTTAAACTCTGCACTTGTCATTTTAACCCTAAAACTCATAGTAGGACTTTTCTGTAGACTGTGGTCTGCTTTCTTTAGTGCTTTGCTCTAGATTAGTTTCAAGTGTGGTCCCTGGATCAGCAGCATCACCTAGGAACTTATTAGATATGTAGAATCTTGATCTTCACCCTAGACCTACTCAATTGGAAACAGTGAATGGATCCTAGCAATCTGATTTAATAAGTCTCCCTAGTAGCTCTGATGCAAGCTAAAGTTGGAGAATCATTGGTCTAGATTATAGCCTGAGGCCGAGAGTTACTGAGAGTCTGGAATGTTGAAGACCCAGCTATTTGGAATGCAATTATAAAATAACTTATCCTGATGTTCTTTTCAGGGTCTATTCTTGCTCTGTTGGTTGGACTCAGAGGACTCCTTGGGAAAGATCTCTTTTCATCTCTGGAGTTTTGGATTACTAATTCCTGACTCTCTTTAAATTGATAGTCGAGTTCTGTCTACTTTCGATCTTAAAAGATTTTTCCCAACTTTCTTGTCTAGTATTGGTATTTATTTATTTATTTATTTATTTATTTATTTATTTATTTATTAACATCCACATTAGTTAGCATATAGTGCAATAATGGTTTCAGGAGTAGAGTCCCATGATTCATCCCCTACATATAACACCCAGCGTTCATCCCAACGAGTGTCCTCCTTAATGCCTCTTGCCCATTTAGCCCATCTCCCCACCCAGAACCCCTCCAGCAACCCTCAGTTTGTTCTCTGTATTTAAGAGTCTCTTATGTTTTATCCCCCTCCATGTTTTTGTATTATTTTTGCTTCTCTTCTCTTATGTTCATCTGTTTTGTATCTTAAATTCCACATCAGTAAAGTCACATGATATTTGTCTTTCTCTAATTTCCCTTAGCATAATACACTCTAGTTCCATCCACATAGTTGCAGATGGCAAGATTGCATTCTTAGTATTGGTCTTCTTTCTTGTTTTCTAACATTTTTGTGGCTTAAAATAACTAAATTTTTTTTTTCTGTCCTTGTATTGGAACCTTGGTGGGTAAAGGAAGTTAATATGTGATTTAATTAATAAATCATCCTAATCTTGGGCAGTCTATTTTAAATTCATTTGCCCTTTTTGATTCTGTCATAAACAAATGAAGATATTTTAATTCATAAGGTAATCCATATCTTAAAAAAATAAAATATATGGTAACCCATAATACTGCTAACATCTTTAGAGAAACCTTTTATTATCTGCAGCAATTTTGTGACTCTAAGTATTCAACGAGGTATAAAACACTAAGCGAAATCACTTTTTACTCAGAGGTTTAGAGTAAAAAAACATTATATAGGACAAGAATCTTTTACAAACAGTTTCTCGTGAGGACTTAAGTTTCCATGTGTATATTCTGTTTCTTTGGTTGTGTACCAGACCATGTAATTGGCTGTGTTTAGGGGTCCTGTTGCATGAAAAACTTTTTTATGTTTCAGGGTATTTAAAGAAGTTTAATATGTTTCTGTATATGATTCCACAGTATATGCCTACTTACCTTAAAAAGTTAACTTGCTTGCATAGTGTCCTGTTAAAGGAAGGTTGAGCTAAGAATAAAAAGATGAATGACAAGTTATATGTTAACGATTCAGGAGTTTAAAGGGGAGAGTGAATTCATGTAAGAAAGCAGCATAATATATTGAAAGAATCTTAGACTTTAAGGGTAAATACTTGAGGCTAAATATAGCTCTAATAGTTAATAGTATAACTTTAGGCAAGTCATTGAACCTTCATTTCTTCAACTATAAAAGAGAAGGATACCATCTATTTTATCTACTCCAGAGAATCATGTGAGATAATATAAGTGAAAGCTTATTTAGTAATCTATATATTGCTGTGAAAATGTGAGATGCATTTGTTCTGGTGATTTAAAAAAGTAGATTAGCCTTATTTTTCAGTTACTGTAATAGTTATGATTACTGTATTTGTTGATTAGTTTAACTTCTGATATCTAGGTTAAAATATTTTATAAAGATTTTGAAAATGTCTTTTACTCATTTATTAAAATGACTTTTTTCACAGGCCAGAAGCAACATTTTTTCTCATCAGTGTGGGTTCAAAGGACTGATTTTGCAGAATACAGAAAATTATTGACAATTGTTGCCATCTTGTGTGTATGAGTTATTACCTGTCACTTAAAAAGCCTCAATAAAAAGCCTCAATTTTATGTTTCTGAAATTTTTGGAAGCTACTTTGTAATGGAAAGAATTTAATTTTGGAATACTTTTATATTCGTATTTACTTTTTTTTTTTAAGTTGGCTTCATTTTGTGCCATGGGATTCTAAATACTGATGCGACAGCACTGAACCTTTGGAAGCTAGCTCTTCAAAGTAGCTCTTGCCTCTCTCTCTTTCGGGATGAAGTTTTCCACATTCACAAAGCTGCAGAAGACTTATTTGTAAACATACGAGGGTATGGCATTTTCATTTATCTTGTCTTTTTTTTTGGAGAAGGGTAGTGAGTGAATGATTTTTGTTGAAGTTTGGGGATAGAGAAGGGTCATGTATGCAAGAAGATGTCACCTGTACCCTCTTACTGGTCACAGTAAGTTTTTTTCTTAACAGTCACTCTGATACGGTATTTTCATATATTTTATAGGTAACTTCACAGACTGAAGTATCTAGTGTTTCTCCCCTTTTAAAACTTGTATTCTATGATAAAGAAGATGTGCTCTCTTTTGCAAATTATGATATGGGTTTAGACGTAAATATTGCTAAAAGCACCATATACATTTTAGAGTTTTGAAATTTGTAGAAGTGCTATTGAGAAGTATGTGGGTCAGTCAGAAGAACTTCATTAAATTATAACAATTATACAAGTCAGACTGCTGCACGTAAGAAATCATGTTTCCTTTTAATAAGGTGTTCCAAGTGACTCATTTATATTCATTCCCTGGAAAGCAAATAGTTCTTACAAATTTGTTTCCTTGAAATTTTTAATGCCTGTATTTCTTTCTATATGAGGTTCTGTAGGCAGTATACAGTAAACAGGTTGGCCTCAGACTTGGTAGTAGTTTTGAAGTCTTTTGAAATTAGGAGCATCTAAAATATTCTAAAATACCTGAAAGTGTCAAATAGTTATGTTCATCTTGTTAGTTTCAGATACAAATGAAGTTTACCAACATTTGATTCATATCCAATTTAGAAATGTCTTCATGCAGGGTGCCTGGGTGGCTCAGTTGGTTAAGTGTCCCAACTATTGATCTCAGCTCAGGTCTTGATCTCAGGGTTGTGAGTTCAAGTCCCATGCTGGACTCCATACTGGGCATGAAACCTACTTAAAAACAAACAAACAAACAAAAAAAACAATGTCTTGAAGAAATTGAGATAAAGCATCTGTTAGTTATTAAAAAGTAAATATACCAACTAAGCCTCAAATTTTAGTGTGCATAAAAATTACTCTGGGATGCGTATTAATCCAGATTACTGGGCATGATCCCTAATTTGTATTTCCTATATCTGTATCTTGGAGAGTTAAAAGAATCTGCTCTTTTTCTCCCTAGTAATTTTTGAAGTAGAATTTACAGACAGAAGAATGCATAAATTTTACATGTATGTCTCAATAACTTTATATATGAATACTCTAGGTGACCACCTAGATCAAGATATAGAACATTTCCATTATCCCCAGAAAATTGTCTTGTGTCTCTTTTTTGGTCAGTACTGCCACCCCTGGTCTCCCTTTCAGTTCCCTTCTCCGGTGACCACTCTTCTGGTTTCTGTCACCATGGATGGTTCTGACATTCTCATGTTGGTAGATTCTCAGGTATAATATGAGAACTAGTGCCCTATGTACTTTCCAGCTCTTACTTGGCTTTTATTTTAGATGCTGGAGTACTTGGAAATATCCTATGTCAGATGGGATACTTCCTAATTTATTTTCATTTTCTAATTGGTTCAGATTGAAAATTAAGAAACTTGTATTATATCTTAGCATATTGATAGCTTCTCTGTGGAATCATATTTAAATATATGTAAGCATTTAGAACCAGGTAGTCTATATATTGAGCGAGCTTATGTTATATATGGTACACATAAGTTGAATGACACCATGAGACCAGTTATCTTAAAAAAATATATTTTTTTAATGTATATTTATTTTTGAGAGAGAGACAGATTGTTGGTAGGGTAGGGGCAGAGAGATGCTGAATCTGAAGCAGGCTTCAGGCTCTGAGCTGTCAGCAAAGAGCCTGACGTGGGCTTGAACCCACGAACTGCAAGATCATGCCCTGAGCTGAAGTCAGATGCTTAACTGACTGAGCCACCCAGGCACCCCACCAATTGTCTTTTTGTTACGCTTTTTTTTCTTTATGTTAATACTTTTCTAACAATGAATTTACCATTTAAGAATCTTCATGATTAAAGTTGTAAAGTTTTAATTTATTAAGTCATGAGTGATCACTTGAAAATATGATTTACAGTACTTACAGGTTAGATTGTAAGTATAAAAGCTTATTAATTATGAAAGAGAATGATTACAGATTTAGTATATTTTAGACATTTGCTCAAAGATCACATAAATCTTAGAGTACTTAATTTAGAAGCTGGGACTTCTTGGTTTAAGTGGTCTTAGCCAGGTTGTCAAGAAGATAATTTTTCTTTAACATTTTAGGAATTTTGAGTTTTTGCATGTAGTATTAATGAAAATAACATTTATTTGCTCTTTTTTTCACATGTTACCTTTAAATTTTTTTATGTTGGTTCCTATTTTTTGTTTTTGTTTTTGAAATTTTTTTAATGTTTATTTATTTTGTGAGAGAGAGAGAGGAGGGGGCAGAGAGAGGGAGACAGAGGCTTCAGAGCGGGCTCCATACTGACATCAAAGAGCCTGACGGGAATCAAACTCATGAACCATGAGATTATGACCTGAGCTGAAGTTGGATGCTTATCTGACTGACCTACCCAGGCACCTGGTGTCCTATTTCTTTTAATTTAGTCTTAGGCTTTCCTGCCCCAGTTTTTTCTACCATAAAACCCCTATCTCCAGACATTCAGTAGTGTTACTCCCTAGTATATATCCTTTCAGAATTTTTTTAAATCAGATAGCATAAAATTAGAAGTAGTAGCTTTGTTATTACTTTAGATTTTGGAGACCACTGTTAATTACATTGGAGGTACAATTTTAGTGTCTCTGTGGGTTCTTGACGAGGTGTATATAATCAAAGATCTACATTGTGAGCTTCAATTTTATTGTTAGATTTAATATAATATGAGGTCTGTTTTTCTAAGAAGACTTGACTGGGTACTTAGGAAAGGAGGTAGGTGGACTTGTTCCATGCATTTCTAGTTTGAGCACCATTTTTTTCTTATTGCTAATAGTCGTTTTTAATTGACTTAGTATTTGGCTAACTCGTTTTGACTGTTACTGATGAAATTAGGATTAACAAGGATCTAATTTTTTTTTTTTTTTTTTTTTTTTTTTTTTTTGCACATAGCTATAATAAGCGTATTAATGACATAAGAGAATGCAAAGAGGCAGCTGTGTCACATGCGTAAGTAGTTCTGTTTTCTCTGTGGAACTTGTAATCAACAAGAATTTCTGTCTTAAAGCATAATTTTGTTCACATACTGCAGATTAATGGTGTGCAATATGGGATAGAAGTGGGCCAATCAATGAGAAGTATATATCCTCAGTATTTAGTAAGCTTCAGGTTAGTACAGACAGATCTGGAATATTTTTGAAGTGTTGATAAAAATGCTCTAAGCAAGTACCATACAAAGGTCTTTTATTTTAGGTATCATTCAGATCTTTTGCCATCACTATGCTTTCATATCAATACTTTTCAAGGTGTGATGATTTTTGTACCACTTCATGAACATAGATATATGTTTATACTCTCCCAAATAGTATTTACTTTTCAAAGTATGTTATCCTCATGCCCTTACCTAATTGTAGTAAATATTTTATATTAGTAAGTATATAGAATAACTTAAAAATTATCATATTTAAGATCTTTGAACAAGTTTTTGATTTTCTCATGAAATAATTATAAATAATTTGATAATTCAGTGTTACATATATACTTCTATAAAATATTTTCTCCACTGAGCCTAGGTAATGTTATCTGATCCATCCGTATTTTTGTAAAGCAGAGTATAAAGCACCACTGCCATCGATGAAAATATAAAAACCACAAGAAGTTTCAGAATTTAGGTTTAGGCTATACGATGGATTTTGGGAATTTAAACCATCTTTATTCATTGCTGTCAGTGACCTATTTCCTCATGCATATTTTTTCACTTGAATGAAATGCTTATATTTAAAAAGTTATTTTCTAGTACTAATATATTTTGGAATGTGTTAGCATTCCTTTCTTGACATACAGAAATACAAATGATTATCAGTTCTTCATGGGATAGACTCTATTGTAGGCACATATATGATTCTTAGCTATCTTTTATGAAATTCTTTTAAAGGTAAGGCATTTTCCCCCTTTATTATATAAAGTAGTTGTAGGTAGTAAGCAGTAAGAATTCCTCATAGGAATTCCTCATTACCTTGTGCCAAGCATGGTACTTTATAGACATTTTCTCTCAGTATTAATAACACCACAGACTCCTTGCCACAACTCGGTGTAATAAAATAGTCAAAATAACATTGCCTCTTTTCTTAGAAATTGTATTGGTTGACTTTATTATTGTAAGATAAAAAAGAGCTTGTCATTGGAATTAGCCTAATAATACTATGTATCAGACATCATGAAAGATGTATCTTTTCAGGGAGGTGTCATCATCCCTGTTTTATAGATGACAGGGTGAAACTAGGAGGGGTGTGTGTGTGAGGGGGTGGGCAGAGGGTGCTGTTTTTTGCACCTATCAAAATCTTAAAACTTTGTTGGGACTGTGTATTTTGCATAGTGTGAGGAGTTGGAATACTTAGAACATTCTGTGATATTTTTTTCTACATTAATATGTAAGAGTAATTCTTTTAAATTTGCATTTTATTTTAAAAATACCTAGTAGTGAATATTTATGATTATCTTTTCCTTTCCTCATCTTTCTGTTTTTGAAGATTACCAAATGATCTCATCCTAATATCTTTATTATATATAGCTCTTGTTTATTAGTCTTACCTATTTAATAAGAATATACTTAATAAAGTAGGATATAATCAGATATTTAATAAGTTGTGTTCATTGATTTTCTTTGTGGGGGTGACAGAAAATGTATGTAGTAGAACATTGCTTGTTTTCAAGGATTTCACAGTCCACTTTTATAAAGTGCTAGGCTAAATGGTATTAAAGTTGCAGACATTATTCAAAAATGGGCATCTGGATATTGGGAAATGCTTCTTGAAGGGTTGGTCTTGAAGTTTGGGTAGGATTTTGATAGGTGGAGAGTAACAGAATAAACATGGTTATAAAAACACTGCAAGGAAGGCCAGGATAAACATAAGTTTGGAAAGTCATTTAATGATATGACATACATATAGAAGATATTTGTAGGAGCTTGTGCTTCCTAAAAAATGTTTGTAAATTGACCTGAAATGGTAAGTTATTTAATTGCCAATAATGATTTTAGTAGAAACAGATAAGTTATATTGATGTCTTTCCCTATAGTGGTTCAATGCACAGAGAAAGACGCAAATTTTTAAGATCTGCACTGAAAGAATTGGCTACTGTCCTCTCTGATCAACCTGGCTTGCTAGGTCCAAAGGTAATTGATTTAATTCTTATTTCAACTACAGGTGTACCGTATTAAAATGAAAAAAATTCGGGGCGCTTGGGTGGCTCAGTCGGTTAAGCGGCCGACTTCGGCTCAGGTCATGATCTCGCGGTTCGTGAGTTCGAGCCCCGTGTCGGGCTCTGGGCTGACAGCTCAGAGCCTGGAGACTGTTTGAGATTCTGTGTCTCCCTCTCTCTGACCCTCCCCCGTTGATGCTCTGTCTCTCTCTGTCTCAAAAATAAATAAACGTTAAAAAAAAATTATAAATAAAATGAAAAAAATTCTATGAAATTTTACTAAAATTTGAATTCTTATTTAACTGTAGGTGTGCCAATTAAAATTTTTAAAAAATTCTCTATGGAAAACTACTAAAATTTATATTTAACTGAGAATGAATTTGCTTACTTGACATTCATACATCACACCTTCCTGCATTTTTCTCACTTCATGTTTGAATGTGTACTCCCCTTGATACCTGTCTCTAGGTTTTCTTCTGTGTTCTCGTTTTTGTCTTTGAACTTCATATTATCAGTTCTTGCCAGTGGCTCTCACTTAGACAAAGATTATGAATAGGTTTTGTTAATAATCTTGGCATGAGAATAAGCAAATGTTCTTTTTTTTTTTTTTTTTTTTTTTTTTTTAATTAGGCACTTTTTGTTTTTATGGCATTATCCTTTGCCCGTGATGAAATTATCTGGCTACTTCGTCATGCAGATAACATGCCAAAGAAGAGTGCAGATGACTTTATAGATAAGTAAGTTAGCAACATTTAAAGAGTTATTTTTTGAATGTTTTGATGTATGGGATGTGGAATTTGGGGACATTGAAGTTAAATTATTTTGAAAACCTTTTTTAGAGCTTTTCACATTTCATAATAAAGGGATATTTGTAATACACCATTAGATGATATGAATTAAAATAGAGTCAGTGTTAGCTTAATATTAGGGCTTGTAATGTTTCCTAAACCTAGATGGTCATAAAGTTCTTATTTTCTTGCTATAACCAGTCATATTTTCTTTGGAATTCATTTTTTAAAATGATTCACTACATAAAAATTTAAATAAGAACCTTAATGAACCAAGTGTGTTATTTGAAATGTCTTTATCATTTTAGTACACAGTCCTTCAATAGGAATTAGATAAATGAAACAGAAATAAGAGCTTACAGAAAAATCTTAATTCTTCTAATCCTCTAATCCTCTTCCGTTTGTGATTTTTTTTAATGATGTAATTTATGAGATACTCTAATTTTATTTTCATTTTGGGTTTTCCTTTATCAACTTTTTAGTCATAGCTGTTTTTTAATTTTTGCTTTGCATCATGGAAATGTCTTTAGGAAGGAATTGACATAAAATTATATTTAATAATGCTTTTTCTAAGAAAAAAACTCTTGTAGTAATATCAGATACATTTTATATTTTCCTTAATGATGAATTTATTTTTTGAAATACTTTTCTTGGATTTTTTAAAAAGGCACATTGCTGAATTAATATTTTACATGGAAGAGCTTAGAGCACATGTAAGGAAATATGGACCTGTAATGCAGAGGTATTATGTGCAGTACCTCTCTGGCTTTGATGCTGTTGTTCTCAATGAACTTGTGCAGGTAAAAACTGTCTCATGTTACTCTCCCTGTTGTTCCTTCCTTCCCTCCTTTCTAGTAACTGATTTGTTTGCTCAGTATAATCTAGTGCCAAGTGATAGATACAAATGTAAACAAGTCATTTTCCTATCTTGTTAAGGGGGATCATCACCTAGAGGGGAGAAAACATTTAGTTGTAGTCAAGTGTTGTAGCATAGTGTTATGCTTAAGTGTGTACAAAGCTCAGACTGAGCACAATTCAGGGAATTATTCTTTACCTGGCAGGTGGAGGTTGATATACAGTGACCAAATTATAGAGGGCCTTTCAGTAGAGGAGGTTAGTCATAAATCTGATTTATTACTTAGATTACTGTGGCTCAGTATGGATGATGGATTGCTGGGGGCCAAGGGAGGAAACAGAGAGATTAGAAGAGAGCTGATGAGAGCCTGAACTTGGACATTGGCTCTGGCAATAAAGAAGAGATGATGGAGACTTTATAATTGATAACCAAGTATTAGATAAAACACAGAAGATAAATCTTTTAGCATAGTATATTAGAAATGACCAGACTTTTAAAACAAAATTCATCTAGATGCCCTAATAAGATTAAATGTCCTGATTTTATTTTCAATTTGAATTTTCCTCTATTGATTTTTAGTCTTTTTTTTTTTTGCTTTCCATAATTTAGTCTTTTTCATCTTAATATAGATTTATTTTTATTCCAAATAAGCTAACTGTAAGGAAAATTGTTTTTTTTTTTACTTCATTTATAAAATCAAGATGTCTAAAAAAGTTCTGTAAGCTAATATACAGTATAAAGGAAGAACAACACAAATTCTCTTTGTATTAAGATTATTCTAGGGGTGCCTGAGTGGCTCAGTCAGTTAAGCATCTGAGACTCTTTACTTCGGCTCAGGTCATGATCTCGTATTCATGAGTTGGAGCCCCACATAGGACTCTGTGCTGACGGAGTGGAGCCTGCTTGGAATTCTGTCTCCTTCCCTCTCTCTCAAAATAAATAAACTTTAAAAAAAAAAAAAAAGAAGACTATTCTAAAGCTACTGGTTTTCCAGAGAAATAACCATACTTTAAAATCCTGATTTTTCTTTTTCAAATCTACCTAAAAAATGTAAATGAGAAAAGAAAATGTCTTTCATGGCATTGTTTACCTTGAATTAAATACTCCTTATAGGTTACTATCCTGAATTGGTGTATTTTTTCCTTTATCCGCTAGGTGGAGCTCAGATGCTTCCTGTTTACAATGTCCATTAAAAAAGGTCTAGAAAAGCTGATTTTATCTCTAGAATGTTATTGCTTTGCTGTACTTCTATTTTAATAGTTACTACTTAACAGATAAACCAGAGGCTTTTGTGCTATCAGAATGTAAACCAGTCTCCTGGTTTCATGTCAGTTTTAAACTTGCTGTGGCTGGTTGGATATTTTATTAATTTTATAGGTTTATGTTACAGCATTAAAAATTTTAAGTCATTCCGTATCTTTTGGTGTCTTTTTCATCAACTGTATTTTAACAACACTAGGGAGATTAATGTCTTTTTTTCCTAGAATTATAGTACTATAATAGCAGTAATACTAATATTAATAATTGTCAGATTTATTGATATTTTATTACATCTATACAACAATCCTCTGAGGATAGGTATGGTTATCATTATTTGTTGAAGAAAATAGACTTTGTGTAACTTGCTCCATATCACACAGTTCATAAGTAGTAGAGCCAGTATTTGAATTTAGGCTTTAATTACAATGCGTGAGCTTTTTATACCCTCTTCTGTTGTGAAGTACCTGCATAGTGTTTCTAACCATTTGGTGGGATTTAAATTTAGAACTAAGATTAACCTGTTAATATAGTTGATGAAATAGCTGTCAAATTTGTTTTTTGTGGTAAAATATACATTTTCTGCGTTCACTATTTTTAAGTGTACAGTTCAGTGAAATTATGTATGTTCACATTGTGCAAGTTTTGAAAATTATGCTGTTAGTGAGCTAAGCATTCACTTATTAAAAAATGTATTATTTATTATCAACTTCAGATGTACTTTATATGCTATTCATTTTTTTAGCTGGCTTGAAAGGGATGTTTTTGGTCCTAATCTTACTGAAGTATAATACACACAAAGTCACCTATTTTCAGTGTACAGTTTGAATTTTAGCAACTGTCTGTGTTCGTTCACATTACAGCCACTACAGTCAAGACATAGAAAGTTTCCAACACTTAAGAGTTTTCTTGTGTACCTTTTTCTTGTGTACTGATGCTCTAAATCCCCACCAACCATTCATCTCCTTTTGGTCACTTTTGCCTTTTTTTAACAAAAAAATTTGTATAAATGGAATCATATACTATATAATCTTTGTTTTTTATTTCTTTCAGTTAGTATGTTTTTGAGATTCATCCATGTTAATGTATGTATCAACATTTCATTCCTGTTTAAGGCTGAAAAATATTCCTTAGTATGGATATACCATCTTGTGTATCCACCCACCAGTTAGTGGACCTATGAATTGTTTCCCCTGTTAGATGTTCTTAACATTATTTTTTGTTTCTTCTTTTAGAATCTTTCTGTTTGCCCTGAAGATGAATCAATCATCATGTCCTCTTTTGTTAACACTATGACTTCCCTGAGTGTAAAACAAGGTAAGTCTTTTAAATAAAAGCATATTTTCTTCTAATTAGGTTTTCAAATTTGATTTTCAAGGAGGGGATTTCACAGTTAATTTTTATAGACTCACTTACTTTTGGACATATTTAGTCTGTTCTCTTTTGTCTTAGCTTTGTTCTCTGTGAAACAAAAGTTTCCAAAATGGGTGTGTGACATTTATAAAAATAATGAGAATTATAGCTTGAAATATTTTATTATTCAGCAGGTGAAAAAAGGCATTTTGTAATTAAAAAAAAACAACAACAACAAAGAAACATAATGAAGTATATATGTGGTCCAAGCATCACCTGTGACAATAGTATGTACCGTTGATAAAACATTTTAAAAATTGCCAGGCACTTATATTATCCTATTTAATCCACATCAATTTTAAAAAGTTCTTTATGCTTTTATTTGGTAGGTTTGGAAACTTAAGATTTGAGAGTTAACCTCTCCATTATTTAACATGATTTTCCCAAGCTCTAACAGGTATTAAGTGCTACTATAGGAATTTTAAGTTCCGGTCTGTCAATCCCAAAAGTTAATGTCATATACTAGATTGCTTCTTCATTATTTGAAAACTTCATTCCAACAGATTGGTGTTATATTTTAGTTTTGTAACCTTTTAAGTAAAGGGTATCCAAATCCTTGAAAATTTGAGTAATAAATACATTTTAGTTTAATCAGTATCACACTTAAGTAGTGAAACTGTTGTAAAGTTGGTTGGTGATAATTTGGTTTGTAAAGAGTTATTTTGAAGAACTTCACTATGCTGTCCAAAGCTTTTGTTTACAGAATTCCTCAAGCTCTAGTCTAGCTTCTTCAAAATTGACATGTAAGCACACTTAGAAACAGTTTAGGAGAGAAGTCTGTACTTAACACTTCTCTTAGCATAACTCCCTCCTTCTATCAACATTTTTATAGGATTTGAGAATTACTGCCTTGTCTTAGCTATTAAATTTTTTTTTGTTTTTTTTTTTAAGTGTACAGTTTAATACGGTTAAGTGTATTCACATAATTGCTCAACCAATCTCCAGAACGTTTTCATCTTGAAAACTGAATCTCCATAGCTATTAAATATCAACTTCTCAATTTCCCTCGCCCCTGGTATCCGCCATTCTACTTTCTGTTTCTATGAGTTTGATTACTCTAGGTACCTCTTAAGTGGAATCATGCAGTATTTTTCTTTTTGTCACTGACTTATTTCACAACATATGTCCTCAAGATTCAGCCACACTATAGCATGTGTCAGAATTTCCTTCCTTTTCAAGGCTGAATAATGTACCACATTTTGTTCATCTATTCCACTGTTGGTGGACATTTGGGTTGCTTCTGCCTTTTAGCTATTATGAATAATGCTGCTATTGTGAATAATGCTGAACATGGGTTTACAACGATCTCTTTAAGACCCTGCTTTTAATTCTTTTGTATATATGGCCATAGTTGAATTATCTTGATCTTAAATTTAAAACTGTGATTATATATTTGTTGAAACATTAATTTGCTTTGTAATCTTTTTTCTACTGTTGTAGTTGAAGATGGGGAAGTATTTGATTTCAGAGGAATGAGATTAGATTGGTTTAGGTTACAGGTAAGAATAACTTAATTTTCATTGGCTTTCTGTTTGGATATTGACTCTTTTAGCTAATATGGAAACATTACTTAGAAAAAAGTTCATTGTTGTATACCTGTTGAAAAAAGTAACCATAGCCTTGTATAACTGACCATAGTCTTTACCTCAGAAGAAACAGTTTTTTTATTAAGATGTAATTGTTGGGGCGCCTGGGTGGCTCAGTCGGTTGAGCGTCCGACTTCGCTCAGGTCACGATCTCACGGTCTGTGAGTTCGAGCCCCGCGTCAGGCTCTGTGCTGACAGCTCAGAGCCTGGAGCCTGCTTCAGATTCTGTGTCTCCCTCTCTCTCTGGCCCTCCCCCCGTTCATGCTCTGTCTCTCTCTGTCTCAAAAATAAATAAATGTTAAAAAAAATTAAAAAAAAAAAAAA